TGGTTTCATTATATTCAGCCAGCTGATTCTCTCTATCACCAATGACAGGGCGACGGCAGGCACGGTGAAAGAGCTTGTGTTTGTATTTGAGCGGTAATAAATTACTGCTGGGGTCAGGGCTGTGCAGGCCGCGCTCCCTGATTAAATGAGACCAAACTTATATCCCTCTGACATCTCCCAGCCTCCTTCTCGGGAATCTGAAGGTGCAGAGACAAATCCCATAATCCTAATTAAGTATTTCCTCCTATTGCAGTGTACAAAACGCCTGGCTGTTTACACAGTCAAAGCCCTCATTCGGTTCCCATGCTTAGTTCAAACACATAGTTTAGGAAAATCTCTGCAAATGCTAAAGAGAAAAGTGACAAAAGTGATATGATTGGGGGAGCAAATGTAATCACTTTGGAGGAAGAGGTGGAAAGTTTAATCTCAAGTATTGCGTCATCAGAGCACAGGCTCAGCTTCTGCATTGCTCGCATCGTGGGTGATTCAAAAATTTGTCTCGTGTTTGAGGATGTCATTCTCATTTTCACCGAGTCGCAGTGGTCTCACGGTTCAGACGGTTTAGAAGGGTAGAGTGGGAGAGAAAATCGCAAATGCAGCTGCTACTGTGGGTTTGCATGTGCTTCTTTTTATCCCCCACACAGTTTAACGTTTCTAAACAAGTAGCACAAGGAAGCAAAGGCACTCTAAACTAGACACTTCTATATCCACATCTGTAACTCGAGTGGTAACAAAAGGTTAAGTGTCTGGTCATATGGAGGGACATTTATTTGTTTCAGCAGTATCTCTTTGTTGCATTTATACAGCACGCACTCAAGATGGCATGACAAACATTCTCCAAAAAACAACTAATTCTCTCCTGTTCAATGGCAACAAGCATAAACAAAAAGTGCTTACAAAATAAGTTGGTAACAGTTGACTTTAATGCCCCTATTTAGCATTTATATTTTTATTATTCCCTTTTATCTGCCCTATAATGTGTTAAATAAATGCATTATTTATGTATTGTTAAAGTTGCAACATGCAAGAATTTAAAAGATTTAAAAGTTGAAAACATTCAAAAATAAAAAAACATTATCAACAGAATGTGTAGAAATAACAATCCATATACTGTATGACGTTTTGAGAGGCATTAACAATCGACCTAATGTGGTGTTTAGGTGTGCAGCAAATTCTTGCAAATTACACCTTTAAAGTGTTACCAAGAGGTGAAGATGAAAATGCCTCTTAATCTGATTTTTGCGCATTATGCAAATGAGAAATCCATGTCTGATCCTAGTATTTTGTCACCATATGCATGCCACATGCTACACCGCAGTCTGAAAGCTCAGCTCCGGCTCGGATCAGCTATGTAACTCATATCACTCACATCACTAAACTCACAGAGTTATTAGCCGGATATTAACAACAACAAACGCACCAATATCCAATTACAATTACAACCGCTGACTTACAATTGCCGTTTTTGCTGTTTTCACTCCAAAAACAGCTGTTTTCTTGCAGTCATCTTGGTATTGCGCAATCTGGAGCTGTAAGGTTTCCTTTCTCTCCTCAAAATGAAGGAGAGATGAAGTGCTGCTTTGGAACAGACGGTCTTTATCATGGTCTACTGGCCGACTCGTAGGAGCTACACTGACATCCAATATATCAAACAATTCGTCTGCTCAATACGAAGAGAAGAAGCCCAGTAGGATGTTTGTTCTGTTCTCAAGTTGTGGGCCTTTAAAGCAAGGGGGTGCTTTTGGTCATGAGAATGTTGATCAATATTCACTGTTTTTTTTATAAATTTTTCAGTATTTTGGAATTTATGTTATTTTTAATGTTGCTGTATGGATAGAAATAGTGTTTTGAAGACAACTCCCAATAACAGTGAACATATAAACAGTAAATATGGCCAAACATGGACATTCGCCTGGTATATTTTTGAAAAATTGTGTAATTACTTTTGTATTTTAATTTCTTTTCACCAAATTTAGAGTTGTATTCCAGGTGTATTAGAAGATATTCAGTTGCATTATAATCTACAGGTTGATGGTTTTGATGGTGATATTGCTATTAAAATATTTTATACCAGGCGAGGATTTCCTTTATTGCATCTCCATTTACATTAGAAAATAAATAGGTTCAGTTAATTCATATTCCTTAGCTTCTGACTTATCAAAGGAGATCTATGCATCTAGGCCTAATGGTTGAGAAGTTATTACTGATTCATTTTGGGTATGTTATTTTGGCCGTTTTTCCTGGAAATAGGTTTCTGTTTCCAAAAGGTTAATTTCACAAACCACATCATTTGGCATTTTATGTGAATGTGATTTCCTCATTAAACTTGTAGAAGGTAAATTATTTATCATTTTTGCTTAACAAGTCAGTCAACCTTTAATGATTTATATGACTGTGGAATAATGTGGAAGCAGAACACCAGTTTGACTTCTATGCACCTCCACTCCATTGCCCTTGAGGCCTGCCATGACTACATGATTCAGTCTAAACGGCTTTCCACACCAAACACAACACTGTCACTTTAAATACAAGCTGAACCTCTGTCACTGTGTTAGCACTCTGCAGGGGCGGGCAGTGCCTTGGAGGCCTCACACGATGCTTGAGGTTCTGTCGAGGGCATTTTAAGTTTTATAATTCCACACACATCTCAAGATTAGGGACAGGGGAGGCTGTGCCCCCAGTCAGCCCTCAAGGGTAACGTCACCCTAAAGTGCTGCTTTGGAATTACAAACAACACAGATTTAGCACAAGCAGACGCCACTGATCAAAAGCCAATCAATACATGCTAGGAAGAAAGGCCTCACATCATACAACACAAATCAGAAGCACAGGTGTGTGGCTGCCAAAGCAGCAGATAGCTTAATTAAAACATATCAACTGAGCCCTCTGTGGTGAATTAATATTTCCTATCCTGCCAGCATGTCAGGGAAACATGCTATGATTTAAGAAAGAAATCATTTCCGGCTCAAGTGTCACTGTTCCAATAAGCGTTTATCACGTTGGTTGACTTGTAATTATTGTTAATGACATTGAGCTGATGACAAGCACGAGCACTACAAGTTATTACTCGACTAGGCAATGCTGATGACAAGTAAAATAACACCATCCGCTGAATTAGATGATGCTGTTTAACTACAGGTCGAGGAGGAACGGAGCACACCGAATGATAGAGCCGCAGTGTAATTATTATACAATGGATCGCACACTGGCAGCTCCTTTATTAAATGGAGCAAGAAGAGCTATCATTCAGCTTCCAGTTGTTGGGTTGGAGTGGACACTGGTGACAAGCTCCACAAATGTGATGTGCTTTTTATGGTTAGAGGAGTGATTCTAAGATTCACTATGTGATACTCTGCGAGGATCCTCACCAGAACATCTTGTGTGAGGTACTTCAGGATTCAGAGCCGGTAGAGTTTCAGACTCTTGTTCAAGGACACTTCACAGGACTGGTTACGGATGGGGCACACGCCATGTCACCCTGCAAGTTATGCTAGGTGTCAACAAAAGTACAGGGCTACCAGAAAATCCCCTCTGGGTTTAATATGATGTTATTGTATCATGAAATGTGAAAAGGGTAGACTTTCTTGGTTTTGACATTGGTGCACCCCTTGGGATGAGTTGTAAATCACTTTGGTGAACACTTCACTTTCCATATGTCGCCATCAGGTCAAACATTATATTTGTCCTATACTTTATGATCAAATCAAATTACATTCCCCATTAGCCTCAGCTACACTTGGCGTTAATTTGAAAATCTACAAAAACATAGTTAACAATATAACTGCTAAAGATGTTAGCATCGTCACTGTATGCTAGCATTTAGGTAGCATGGCTGTACACTAAGGTCTTGTTAATATACACTGAACAAAATTATAAACCCAACACTTGTTTTTGCCCCCATTCATTGTGAGCTGAACTCAAAGATCTAAAACTTTCTCTATGTACATAAAAAGCCTATTTCTCTCAGATAATCCATCCACCTCAAAGGTGCGACATATCAAGATGCTGGCCACAATAAAAGGCCACTAGAAAATGTGCAGTTTCACTGTATTGGGGGGGGCCGGAAACCAGTCAGTATCTGGTGTGACCACCATTTGCCTGACGCAGCGCAACATATCTCCTTCGCATAGAGTTGATCACGTTGTTGATTGTGACCTGTGGAATGTTGGTCCACTCCTCTTCAATGGCTGTGCGAGGTTGCAGTCAGTACATTTCACCTCAACTGGTTGTCAAAACATTCTTGTAAGTGCTCTTATCATGTTTAATGCTCTCTGTGATGATTGCGTGGCTTTGATTTAGTCATCAATAAAACATGTGTGTTTTAAGTAAACTTTGTTCCCTTGTTGTTCATTTCTCTAAAATTATGTTACCAAATCATTTATGGGGTTTTGGCAATTACTAAGACTACACAACAACACTAAAGAAGGCATGCCACTTCCCCCCCTCAGCCCTGCAGTTCCTTCTTTGTTTCATGACAAATTTCACTATTGGGAGATTATTTTTGCATCCTAAAAATAAACAGGTACTGATTGCTACCTGTGTGGAAGAAAGGCAAATTCTGAGTGTCATGTAATTTAACTTCAGGAAAAAAAAAAGATGCAATCAAGTCTATTCAGTGCAGAGACAGTGGGGGCCAAGGCACGTAACAGGCATTTCATTTCAACTTTCACTAATATTTTTGTTGCAGTTCTCTTTACAAGGATATAATTGTTCCCGCTATGCAAACTGACATTTCAGCAAATCCACTGCTAATTGGTTCCACCTGTTTGATGTTTGAACTGCAAGACGAACAGCATGTAGCAATAAAATTTTGTACAAGTACCATTGCACTGTATAATTATTTTTATTATGCGCAAGCCCCATTTCAGAATACTATTTTTTGTACAAAACTTACTATTTTTGTGCAGCAAAACAAAACAATGCCCAAGCCTATCGTAAAATACGCCACAAATACCATCACAAGCTGTACGCAGTGTGGAAACATACAGAGGCAAATAAGATGTAGAGATGCAAGACTTTTATTTAAATCAAAATCAAGTGATGTTCTAAGATAATTTTGTATCCAAGATGAGCATAATAATGAACAATGAATACATTTTAGAAAACAAAGCACAGATTTCCTTCAGTTGTCGCCAAGATGGTTTGCATCTCTGCTACCTCCCCCCCCCCGTGCACTTTGTTCCCCCTCCCCTTCCGCAGATTGTTCCTCCCCGCTTCTCTCCTTTAGTTGTGGCCTTGGAGAGCCTCCGCCATGAACAGCTTCCCAAGGTTCTGCGAGGTGAACTCCTTCACGTTCTGGCAGTAGTTGTTAATTTGCCCTGTTGGATGGTAGCCACATGCATCCGCGCGCCCAAACACACCCCCACAGAAACATACACACATGCATTTGTACACCAAAATGCACACAAACAGGCGGGGGCGGGAGAAAGAGAGAGAGGGGGCAGAGCAAAACATCAAATTAGTGGGGAACGGAGTAAACATAAGAATCATAATGTTGTCTGAAGGCGGAGAAGTGCAGTGTGAAACAGGAGAGAAAAGGGGCGGTTGAATTGGAGATTGAGTCAGTAAAGTTTAAATTAATGTAATTTAAAGATAATGGCGGAGATAATTACAACAGAACTTTAGCTCCTGTGAAGGGAGCAGAGGCAGCTAATGGGAGTTTGGCGAGCAGGGGGTCTCTGTGGTGGAGATGGTGAGTAGTGTTCACGCATGGAGGTTGCAGTGCGTGCGTGTGTATGTGTGCGCGTACCTGCAATAAGCAGTGTGTCCATGCGAGGTGGAGGCTGGGGGGGCTTAAACATTTTGTTGATGTCCTCCTCAGGCAGCGGGGGCTCCCCTCTACTCTGTCGCTGGGCGTTCTCCTGCTGCCGCCGCTGGAGGTACTAGAGGGAGGGACACAGAGAAAGAGGGGTTGGCATTGGAGGACAGACAAAAAAAACCCCGACATAGCAGTGAGAGTATGACAATGTGAGGAGAAGAGGAAATGTGTGACAATGACGTCAGGAAGGTAAGGAGTGGGAGTAAAGAAAGTGAGAAAAAAGGCAAGTGAGAAAAGTCAGGCACAGGAAGGAGAGAAATATAGTTCAAATGAGGCAGAGAGCACAAAGTGGAGAGTAAGAAGAAAAAAAGAGGAAGAAAACAGGCAAAGGAAACAGTAACAGGAAGGAAGAAAGATGTAACAAAACATGGTGATGAAAGAGGATATAGAGTAGACGGGGAGAGAAGAGTTATAAGTGCTGACAGGGATGGAGTGATTTGTGAAGGGGCTGACAGTCGGTAAATCAGTGAGGTGCCGGTCTCCAGAGATCCTAAAAGCCTTGTTAATTTAAGATTGAGCCGAGACTGATACAGAGCGGTGGACGGGAAGGTGGTGGCAGACGAGGAGGAAAAATGGCGTGGGAGCAACTTGAGTGCTTTCAACCAAACAACCCACAACACACCTGATGGCAATAGCTGACAAAAGCTAAGATAAAAAATAAGTAAAAATATAACTATTTGTTCAATTGAATTGTAAACCGCAAAACACACTGCCGCCACAGCCACTAGCACCAATAGGAAGCGCCGCGCTGCAGCACGTCGACCTTAGCGTGGGATAATGAAATGCAATGGGTGAGTCTCTCTCCTCATCCTTGGTCCTATACACACGAGACAGTGACAGCAGGAAGTGAGCAAGTCCAGCTGACAAGGGAGCAGAGAAGAAGAGCTGCTATGGGAGACGAGCAGGGCGGGTGGTGAGGCTGTTTTGACACGTGCCATTTGGTGACAGTGTATTTTGGCCTTTACTCCTCTGGCCCCCCCCCCCTCACAGCATGACTTTTTGAGAATTGAGCTAAAATAACGAACGTTTGCACCTTCCATATGTAAATGTTGACATACAATGCCTAAAAGTAAAGTCAAGGTAAGTAACAAAGATTTAATTGTTAAGTACAACTAAAACAATCTCCTTCAGGTCATTGTTTAGAAGAGGCACCTCTCGCTGCTATTTTTCCCCAGTATATATTTTTTTTCCCCAAACTGCTCTGGCTTTGTCAAGACTGCCAGGTAACAGCAGAAGTCCTGCCACAAAGGCTGAATTGGAGTGAGGTCTGGACTCCTGTGGAGCTTTAGCTTTATGTTTGAGGTTGTCTTAGTGGAAAATAATCCTGTCACACGTCGCAGTTCTTTTACAGATTGCAGCAGGATTTTTATGGATTGCTGTTGCTGTAGCCTTCCAGGGCCTGCTGCAGAGAAGCACCCCCACAGCATGCTGCTGGAACTACCACGCTTCATGCTGGGCATGGTCTGTTTCTGGCAATGTGCTGTGTTTGGCTTTACTATGATGGTTAAGAATTCAAATTTTAGTATCTAGAGTCGAGGTCTTAAAGGGACCAATCTGTTCTGGTCTTTTTTTTCTGCCGTGTGTGTGTGCGCCGATATGTCCAACACCCAAGTGGTTCCGCATGGATCCGAGCACACTCTGATCATGTGGTACGTCATAATCACCAAGGGTGAAAATATTTCATTTTAATTATTATTATATAATCTGTTTGAGTTGACTAACCTGGTCTAATTATCCTCAGGTCCCCTTCAGATCAGGAGTCTCATTTGTAAAAAATGTACAATTGACAGACTCCTAAAGGTTGCGTATAGACAAAACACAAAAAGTGCGCGTTCTGCCGATTTCCCTTTATAAATTACAATGAACTTCAAATGTGGTGCAGGTGAGTGAGCTACTTGTCTCACCCTTTGACCACCCATAGATGGTCAGTTAAATGCCCCTCATTACTATTAATGCGTACTGACTGCATGAAAAAAAGAAGGCAAATTCTGACAGAAAAGTTAAAACAAAGAAGCTTAACTCAGTGTGACACTGAAGTTCTTCTTGTTGTGAAAAATGAAGTGAAGTGGGTAAACATGCACATACACGCATGCTTGTGTACAAGACAAAAGGGGAGCAGGAGAGCTCAATCCCCTTAATAACCCATCTGCAGGCTGGCCCATCCTTCCTGAAAAGAGACATATATGCAAGACGCACAGGACGATCCAGGTACATAATTTGGATTCCCTCGTTTGAATCGAGAGTAAACCAAATGCATTCCACTCATGTTTAAACATTTTATTTAGGCTACACAAACAGTCCATTCACTTAACGAGACTGCTGATGAGTTAAAAGAAAAATGACTTGTTTTATATGACATAAGCGGTATATTGAAAGATTTACTTAATAGTGATATATTTTTTCATAACATGCACAGCGTTTGGCACAAATACCATAAGCCAACGAACATTTGATAATATATCAATCTATGCACTCGTATTTGCTCAACTGAGGCTTTGAAAATGGCATCAATGTGTCCCACATCTTATTTATGAGAATAAATTGTACTGCAATAAAGTATTAATTACTATGATTTCTGATTAAACCGTAAAACAAATTTGAGGCATTCTGTTGTAAAAACAGATCTCTGTTTATTATCCTAAATCATGGTTCTTTTTGTGTAAGCTGTGAGTTGTCTTAAATAGTTTTTTATTGCGCTCTTAAATAGGGCTGGGCGATGTCTACAAAATTTCCATCGGAATGGACGATGTCATCGGGTGCGCGGGCGCGCGTGGGACAGCAGTCGTCTTATGTGCACGTGTTCTCGCACAATCGGTAAAAAAAATTGTTGGACTACTAACTTTACAAGTCGCGGTGGATATTTTATGCACGCAGCAGGTAAAGTAGCTGTGAACACACAGGGTGCAGATGTTGGTTTCAGTCAATCACGATGCCGGCTCAATGTCATAATGTCTGTCGGCCATCACCAATGGCATCGTCTATCGGCCCAACCCTAAGGTAAAATCAATTAAACAGGTGGTTGTTTATTCAGAAAGGCTTTCACCTGTTTTGCAAATGAACTCATAATATATAACTATATTAGGTTTTATTGGCCTATAATTTATTTTACACAATAGTATCCATTTCAAACCGTTTCATCCTTGTGCCATGTGAGTCGCCATTTCTCATTTCTCCAGTTTATGTGCATGGCTCAGAGTTTGCATGGAGTTTGTTTTTTTTTATAGATCACAACCTTTGCTTGGGAAGTGGCATACACACGTTTCCATTCCTGTTTTGTGCGTACACACCGTTTATAAATGACACCCCAGATTTCTCTTTTTAAAAAAATTCATTCACCTTCAAACACTTTGTTCCAGTCTCTCACATGTCTTTTGGCACACTAGCCCAGATGTCACAGGAGTTTTTTTTTAACAGCAATAAAGCTGGAAGTGACAACCTTTTTCTGAGTTCTGAGATGGGCTTCTTGGTGGCCATGTTATCTATTTAGCATGAACTACAACCATGTACATCCTTAGTCATGACTTGGGCTAGCCTTTCATGTGTTTATTTTTTGTATATAGCAAAACTATATGGCTCAAAAGTAATGACTTGGAAAATACTGCTGAATCATCTGATGGTAGATGAGTTGTGTCATTAACCATAAATCACGATTCCTTGATTCACCTGATTAACACATTGCTCCATATCTAATCTTCTGTAAAGCGTTGCCTGCTTCTTTGGATGGAAAAGAAAAGACTAAAAAGTGAATATATCAGAGAGAGTGAGACACACATTTCCTGGTACAAAGACTAACTTGGCCACAGATTGTGCCTGGGAACCTGCTACCTACCAAATTTGGAGAGCTATAAATGAAAAATGGAGCCCTCTCAGCGCAGCGCCTTTTTGCAACTTTCTATGATGATTAATAAGGTTCCATTTGTCCGTGAAGCAGCAGGGTCAATAGCACAAGATTATATGGAGCAAGTACTGTAGGTGTCTGAAAGGTGTAATAGGGGCTCACTTTCTTTGTCTCGGTGAGCGCTGGTTGTTCATTGTACAGAACCGTGTGAAACATGAACAAAGTAGACACCGCATAAGGGGTTGTCTGTGTGATATTGTGTATGACACGAGTGTGTGTTTGTGTGTGAGGGGTAAGGCTGGGGGGGGGGGGGGGGGGGCTGTGATGATGAGAAGTTCAGTAGGAGAGGATGAGGATAATAATGCCTGGGGTGTTGGTGATTGGGGAGGGTGGGAATGTGTGGCTACGTGTGTGTGTGTCTTCGCGGCCCAGGTTTGTGAATGCCTTGCGCGCATATGGCTGACTACCTGCGGTCACAGATGCATGCGTGTAGTAAGTCTGCCTAATGTGTGTGAACTTGGCCGTGGTTTTATCCGCAGTCGGCCGGGAGGATGATGACTCAGCCCGGATGAACATTAACACTTCAGACATTTCCTCGTTTCCACTTGCAGAGAATAATGACAGAATAATGTAGTTGTTTGAACGTAGGTGTAGGTTTATACGCACGCACTCTGCGCACACCAGTGAGTCACCTTGTGCCTCTGTGCCTCCATTATCCTGAGTAATGTGTGTGTGTGTGTGTGTGTGTGACCCTTTGTGTGTGCGTGTGTTGCCGGATGTTTATGATGCATCTAGCTGAGGCTGTAGCTGCAGATGGTACGTGGCTGACTCTTAATCTGTGTGTGTGTGTGTGTGTGTGTGTGTGTGTGTGTGTAAACATTTTGTACTGGCCTTTTTTTGGTGCTTCTGGCTGAGTTTGTATATGTAGGTGGTGTGTGCGAGTCTTTGCAAGCAGAATGTGTGTTTTACGAAGTGCTACTGTTGCTGCTTTTAAATCAATTTTGAGTTTCACAAAATAAAGAAAGGGTCCATTTCGGATATTAATGCTAAAACGGAGTCCATATGTATCAGTGGTATTTGAAGGCTGGCAACCTTAAGAACCTAGTCTTCCTGAGGATAAAAAAATAAATTTCACTGAAGTCCTTTTTGTAGTGATGAAAATGACCAAATCCTTGACAAGAAAAACAGTGTAACGGATGGAGAAAAGGCGTGTGCGTCTGAAACTGAATTGACCCTGATGTGCGGTGAGGTGAGGGACGTACACTACGACACATTTGAGAGTTAGGGCAAGTCAGGTCAAAACAACAGAAATAACTTTTGAACCTTTGCTTGAAGAGGTGTTGGTGGTGTTTATTTGCTTTTGAAAGATTTTGAACTTAAAGCAGCATCTAGAGTAAAGCATTCTTTATCATGTGTTTTCTATCATTTTATAGCATGTTCTCTTTTAATGGTACATTAAGTAAGTGAAAAGGCAGCCAGATGCCCAGATCAACTGCCTTAAGAGGTCTTTTGGCTCTAAAACAGACCTGTGGAAAACTCAAAGTGTCCAAAATGCATAAAAGATATAGAAAATAATGTTTTTCCCTGCACACTTTAACATTCTCAATTTCACCTCAAAAAAACACATTTTTCCCCTGATGATGTAAGTGATGGTTACGACACACCAGTCAGATCCCCTCGGATATTACTAAACAATGAAATTAAATTATTAGCTGCATTTATGCGGATGTGCTGCTTCAGGTACTGACTGTGAGACCACAAAGTCCAGTTTGAGTATAAGAGTTGTGAGTTTGAAGTCTCAGACGCAAAACCACTGCACAGAATTGACAACTTTGGAAAGTTATCACGCCTCAGGAATGTGAGCTGACATGTATTTGATTGGGCAACACAGCAACTTGTCGGATGACGACGCATTGCGGTCCAGCAAAATGTGAGCGAGGTTCAACTTTTTTTGCCAGACGATCCTGCTTTAAAGACAAGGCCCATAATCGGTCCTTAGCTAACGTTTTTTCATTTTCCAACGGCATCTTACAGGCCAGACTGAAGAAGGTGGGAGAGAGATAGGCTGCTATTCATAGTAAATGGGACCTGTCCAGGGGCGTTTCCAGGCTCTTGAAACAATGGGGGCTTAGCCCAGCCCAGAAATCTTTCATGTTTTCAGCCCCCACCCCCCATTGCCATCTACCCAAAGTACGTTTATAAAGCAACAGTAACTGATTTAATTTTTATATATATATATCCTACATTTATTATGATTTTTATAATTACTACTGATAATAATTAACACTGATAATATTAATTAGGGGGGTCTGGGGGTCCTCCCTCTGAAAAAAAAATTCAAACACTTAATTTCCTGCATTCTGGTGAATTTATTTGTACCAATTTATTGAGGAAATATCTGAGGTGACAATTCAAAATAAAAAAAATATAGTCTAATATAATGCAGTAAGGCTGTCAGGCATTCTGTATTGCTGTCAGATATGTTTCTCCTGTAGATCAACCTTTCTCATACAATTTAATCCCAGCTGAGTCTACATACATGCAGGCATGCCTGAAGTAGCCTAAAGTCGTTCTTAATGTGCATATGGCACCTTTTCATCTCAATGATAAATTAGCTAAATTAATTTTAATAAAGTAAAAAAATATTTATTAATGAAATATTGGGGGGTCTGGGGGTCCTTCCCCTGAAGATTTTGAGCAGTAAACACTTAATTTCCTGAATTCTGGAGACATTTCTGCACCAATTTATGGTGGAAATGGATGTGTCTTTAGTTTTATAAAGGGATGGACAAAATATAGGTGGCAGGTGATAATTCAGAATATAAAATATAATAGAATGTAATGTAGTAATCAGTAGCTTATTCTTGTTTTTAGTTTATATCTATAAATCGGTTATTTTCCCGCATTTGGCGAATTATTATTTTTTTGACCCACAACACAAGAAACAGAGGGGGACGGAGTGGGGGCTAGTAAGATATGTGATTGGGCCAGCCCAATGTCAGTATTGGCTTATGCTTTATGGGAGATCGTTGCCCATTTTTTTTATATAAATAAATTATTTGACTTGTAGCCTATTCGATGAGACAAGCGCACTGCTCTTCACCAGAGAAAGAAAACCGAAACTGAAAACACTTTTCATCAGACAGAAATATCACCACGATTCCACAGAAATGTTCACTTTTAAAGTGCAGCTCACAGCCGCTTTAGAGTAACGGCGGGGGGGTCACGTTATGTGAACTTCAAACAAAATGTAGCAATATTATTGCGAGTAGCCTCCGCTCCTTCCCTCAGCTCTTATCCGCTGCAAATTAACATGGAAAATATTTTTGTTGCTGTTGTTGAGTTACATTCGGGGCTACAGTCAAAACATCCGGGGCTAAAGCCACGGAAAAATGGCCTGGCGATGCCGTTGGACATGTTGCTGCAGCCCGGCGCCAGCTGCTGAGCTACACAGATTTAAAAGACGGGAATGTTGACAAAAGCTCAGCAATACAGCACTGAGTAGTATGGGACTAAGTATGGAAAATCCATGTGTATCAATGTGAGTATAGTTGTTATAGATATACAGTAGAAGATATCTTAATGTGATCCCGTAGAACCATATTTCTGTATGCTACCTGGATCTTCTGCTGCTTGCCTGCTGTGATTACAGCTGAAATTACTTGTGACCATGGATGAGAGAAAAATACCTGCTGTTTTCCTGCAGAGTTTGTGACTGGGCGCATCTGTGTGCAAATGCCCCTGTGTGAGTCTGCGCCTCTTTCCCTTATATGCATGCTGGTAAGCTGATGTTTGTGCTGCTACTGCTGCTTGCTCACCGTGTAGGTGGTGTGTGCGTTTCAGTTCGTGAACGCTTATGTGTATGCGTTTGAGTGTGTGTGTGTGAGTATTACCTGGTGCTTCTGCTGCTGTTGCTTACTCAGGTTGCGGCTGTAGGTGTTATATTTGACAATGTCTTGGCTCATGTCATCCACTCTGTCCATCAGAAGCTGAAGGCTCTTCTCCAAGTGGTTGCTGGAAGAAAAAAAGTCAGCATGTCATTCAAACGCTTTCATATAGACATCAGAACTTGTAAGCAGCAGTGACGTTTATTTCATTCACTCCCGGGCCTAACTTAACAGCTTACACTAATCTTCACTTCATTTAGCATAACTATTGTTACTTCAGACACAGACATACATAAGGATGAATATAGCGTTTTTATGTAAAGGCTTTATCCAAATTACTTTACAATTTTTGCCCTGCAATTCTGGGGTTTATGTGTCTTGGCCAGGGACACTTAGACATGTTGACTGTTCGATGCTGACGAAGACCAGCCCTACTTCCTGAGTCACAGCCACCCCACCACTTCCATCCTTGCAGCAGGCCCAGAAAACACGTATGCACACCTGCAAACCTCCACAATACGTAATTGGGGCTGGTCCACTGACCTACCGGGTACATCTCTAAATTTGACACATTGCGGTCTGTGAACACAGTCACTGCAAAAGGGTTTAACAAAAGAACCATTAAGTGCAATCTTCTTTTTCTTCAGCAGCCTAAGGCCCCATCCACACTATTGCGGTTTCGTTTTAAAACAGACCTTTTTCTACGTTTACGCCTCCCCTTTCAGACTAAACTGGCAAAAACAAAGACCTAAAACGCAGAAGCCTACCCCGTTTTTCGTTTTAAAACTCATGTTTGGGTCTCTGATTGGGTCTTATACGTCATGCAAAAAATATTAAAATATTTTGTACCGTGCAAATAACACTTATAGCCTACACTTGGACTGTACATGTCGCCGTTTACTTTGCGACGACTCCTAGTCTGTTTTTCCACCGAGACAGTCACTTTTAACTCCCGCGTTACAGTCAGTAACAGTCCCAGCTCGTTATTGGACGATGCACAAAATATCTGGTGTGGTTCTTCATCGGTATTATTTTATTCTTTCGCCAAATCTTCTATAACTACGGAATAGACCATCGCCTTCATGTTTACACCAGCACACACATACCCAGTGTTCCTGAACGGCCACTAGATGTGCGTTTTCAGATCAACTCTGATACGCAGCTAAAACGCTGGTGTGGACGGAGATTGTATTTGTTTTAAAGCACCATTTTTAAACAAAAATAGAGTAGTGTGGATGGGGCCTAACTGTGTCCTTACTTCAGATTTGTCCACAATGCTCCACTACAGAGTCATAGATGAATGGCAAGTCCCACACAGTTGAGACAACTGTGAGTTGTCCTCTAACGTACACATAAATGGTTGTGGGCTATATAAATCAAACTGACTTGGCTTAGTGAATCTTTCCTTTAACTTTTCTTTACTGTTGCAAGAACACAATGCTGCATTCGTGTCTGACCATCAACTCTTCCCTGATATTTGGTTGGATCTCATTTACACCTAGTATTAACACGTGATCTGTGTCTATCTTAGTTCAAGGCATGCAAGATGCACTGCAATCAGAAGGCTATCTGATCAGGCAGATTATATCTGGAGATGGTCTGGCTTGCATTGTGATACAAATCTTTAGCCAGGTATAAATGCAACCTGTACAGTTTGACCACTGTCCTGTGAAAAACTTCCAAAAATGGAGATGTTCCCCCTCCTCCTTTAATCTCAAGGACATCCGGCAAAATAACTACAAACAACCCTTCCAGTATGAAGGAAATCTTATGTTGGCTCCTGTGTATCCTGAAAGACATCTGACATGAAACCTCTCTCCAGGGTTGTGACAGTACTCAGACCTGAGGACCCTTCTTCTCGTCTGTGTGCTACATCTCCCTCTTCTTTTCCCAACAGTGGCATACTGACAATGCTGACAACACTCACCACACATTTCTACCAGAGTTCATCTTCTCTCTCCTCCCATGAGCTCCATTTTTTAACAGGATGTCTCACTACTGCCTTAAGTTCAACCTCAAAAAGGCTGCTGTGCTCTACTTCCAAGTCCTCTCCCTCTTGTACTTTCCCTCTGTGGAATTATATTGTTCAATTTATGAATGTTTGGGTGCTACATAATGCAGCGTGCACTGTGGGAAAACAGATTTTGACTGTTTATTTAAATGACAATTGTGCCCGCAAGGACTGCCAACGCTGTGTATGTTTTGGCTGTGTGTGCACTTGCGCTGATGTAACTGTTTTGTTTGTGTGTTTCATTGTTTGTGTGAATATGTGGAGGAAAAGTGGAGAGTGTTTTGGGCGATTTTAGTTACTTTCCTCTCTGCTGTGAGATTTTTCAATTAACAATTTTATAAATCAATACTCCTCTCTCCTCACACTTTCCGTCTTGTGTTGCAAGCTAAATCTTGTCAAGAAATAACTTACCAACCCTCAAAAATGCCATTAACTACATCCACAGCTACCTTTCTCTAGCGACTATTGATTAGGAATACCTTTCTTATATAAAAAGAGGATAGCTAAGATCCTGAGAAACAAGCTCCAATGTAACCAGAACTGACCTGAGCCACGCACATTTGCATTGCCGATTTCTGCTGTTTGAATGAGGTGCAGTGAAACGTGTCGTCAATTTTGTAATCACAACTCATGGCAGTTTGCAAGCCTTCTGCTATAAAGACAAAGGGCTCATAAACCAACCTTTCTGGTAACATCCCTCTGTGAAGTCTCTCAGGAGTGCCTGTAGTCTCACTTTGAGTCTCAACACCTGACGAGTTACAATATTATTTCACAGTAGTGCTTGTTGTTAAGGTTACACTGTACACGATGCAAACAGAATGGAAATGATTATATGTACAGTGTATTTAAACCTGTGCAATAAAAGGTATTCAAATATGATTATGTGTGTAGTGTGTGTAATTTCCCACAACATAAAAAGCACTGAGGGCTTGTTTATTTTGTTACTATGCTGCTGCAGGCTTCATTTGCATGAAGAATTCAACTCAATGTCCTTGTGTGTCACTTGAAACACTGTGTGAACGATATTACAAGGCCTTAGGGGCTCCACCAAACTATATGGCACTGTATACACATTTGTAACTTCTTTTTTTTTTCAACAGCTACCAATTTAGTATTTTTGGTGCTATGCTGTGGAATTCAATAATTCACAAACCACAATTCAACTGACTGATGAAATCAAATTACAATCTTACAAAGCGAAATGCCAGGAAGTATAAAGTCTGTGGCCAGAGAGCATACACGCAAAAAACTGAAGGGCTACATTCATGTGCATTTAAGCATCCAGACATGTGTAAAACATATGCATATCCTGAAGCCACTCACCATGGTCATCTCAGCTTAGCATCTGGCAGCCATCAACCCACGTTCAACTGGTAACACACCCTTAATTACATTTATATGCGCGCACACACACGCACACACACACACACACACACACACACACCCCCCACCCCAAGTCCCTCAAGCTTGCTGCTTGCACAGGGAGAGAAAACTAATGAAACCACATGCATGCACAGAATTGTATGAACACTGATTGATTTATAATGGTGTTCTCACACCATCCATAGTACAGCCTGGCACCTGCATGAGGTGTGTGTTAATATAAGTGGCTGCATGATTGCAGATGTTCTGCAGAAGTGTATGCACACAGTTTGAAGACGAATATGGCGTGTGGGTTTTTCAGTCCGATTTTACTGCTCGTTTCATTTTGAAAATGTTTAATAAAATAAAAAAAACATGGGTGAAAAATGTATGATTTTCAGTAACCCCAGTTGTCTTTCACATAGTTTAGACTGCTGAGACATTTCCACTCCACTCGTGTTTGCCTGTGAGGACTGTTGTGTGATCAGTTTGTCAACCCTCCACTGCGGTGTCAGAGCTGTAAACATGAAAACGAATGGCTCAGGACCAAACGCTCGCCGTGACACCTTCCCTACTGTGTCCCTCCGACTGTGTCAAAATTGATTCTCGCTGACGAAAGCCCATTTAAAACTATTTCATCAAGCAATATGGTAGATAATTTGTGTGGTGTACATTTATAATATATGCAAAGGAAATCATTTAGTCAGAGCAGGATCCTTCAAAACATCTGTCGTTTATGTATGTGTCAAGTGCTTGAGTGGGACCGAACAGAAGTGTGTGTGTAGGTGTGATTCAGTGCACTGGATTTTGTTTTAAGTTTGTATTTCATAATTTATTTTGCAGTTGATTGTAAATTTGTTACATTTGGAGGACTTGTACATGTACATGCTTGGTTATGAAGAGTAACGTAAACATACCTGACCTAGCCACTATTTACTAACTGACACGAGAACACAACTTTGATTAAAACACTATTTTGCTCAAAAAAATAATAAAAATCTGTAGTGGGGAACTTCTGTCTCCCCCCTCCTGACCATTGTGACAGAGCATAATTACACTTAACATTGTCCACACGTGCTTATGATGTATAGGCTCTGCCATACTGAGCCGCTGCTGTTGCTATGGCTGCTCCAACCCCTTCAGCTCTGACAAACCACTGCTGGTTGGCATAAAACACATCACTGCCGGTTCACCAGTGCGGGAATGTCACCACAGAAAGCAGATTTAAAAATTGTAGGATACTGCGTACACAGAAAGATTTACCTGGCAGTGAGCTGCTTACTTGTGTGAACCCGTTTGGTAAGGACTTGAATGTAACGGACGTTCATTTACATGTAAAAGTTACGCACTACAGCTTTAACTCAGTCCGCTTACTAGCTTTTTCCTAAGTTTTCAACCAGAATGAGTTTCCCGTTCAGTGTTTTTGTTCATTTTTTGATCAGTTGTTATGGCTACTGTTTGTTTATAAAAGCTTTGACTCTGCAAGTTCAGCACACTACTGCTCACAAATGGTCAGTAGCATGTCCAAACACATTCAAAAATATGATGTTACCAGTTACACGCAGATAGACGCTGAATAATGCAACCTACACTACATGGTGTCTGGTCATACATTCCAAAGGGTTAAATTACTCAGACAAGTCAGCGAGCCTTTCGATCAACCTGAATTAGAAATCAAAGTCTATAGAGGCATTTCCTATCATCACCGATTCTGTTTTAAGGTAATGTTCAGTGGCAGCCTATACACTATGTACACCTCTGGCCTATGTTTTCATGTCCACACAGGACAATAGAGGACTAACTCTAAAACTATATTGATGTGTGAGCAAAAAAGGGCTGACATTCAGTTAACTGAAAGTTCAGAGGGGAGCTGTTTAACAAAGCTGCCAAGGAAGTGACTTCCATTCTTATAATGAGTGTTTTGCTCTGATGGAGTCTTTTAAACTGATGGATTGGGGCAAAATATGGATCCCTGGCTTGTTTCTGTAGCAGAATAATATTTTTTTTTTAAGAGGACTAGAAACAGTCTAGATCTAACACTGTCCCAACATTATTTTATACAATGAAAATGGTTAAAATATATTACTAATCCTTATGTAACTGGATACCCTATAGCCCAATAACTCTGGGTTTAAATTCCACTCTTTCCTTGCATCCCCAGAAGAACCTTAACTATCAGAAAGAGTTATAGATTAGCTGCTGTTTAAAAATATATCTTCAAAGTCCATCGCATTGGTTTGTCTGTCATATGACATTTTTCCACATTGTATTTCAATCACTGCAACATCTTCTATCACCACCTCCTCTGTGACTGACAGGTATGTCTTGTCACCTTCCTCACTGTTTACACATCCGTCCACTATCCATTAACATTTCTATTCTGATGGCCAATTACACTAAACAGAGGTAATGGGCTGGCGAGCTGCTAATTCACACAGAACAAAAAGTAAATACAAAGGTTTAAAAAGACAATTTATAATGAACAATGTAAGCTCCTCCAAAGTGAGCACATTTTAAGACAGGTGAAGATCATGTAAGATGGCCCCACACGCAAAAATCTTTGTGGCCTGACATAAAGACAGGCCGCTTTTGTAACATTGTAAATAGAGAGCCATTTCAAGGCTGTTTGGGGGGGGGGGAGGGGCGCTACATAAATGAATTTACATTCATGAAATCCATCACCACGATCAACATCATCATCTGTGGTAACAACAACCCTGTTTGGTGAAGTGAAACTGCATTCACTCAGCCTTGGACGTAGATGACATTGACAAATGGGGCTGCAGATTGGAAAATGAGACAAAAGGAAAAACATTAAATAAAAACCATTATCGTTATCTTTTTTGAAGGGGTGGAAATGAGAAGAAAAGGGTGCGGCTGTCAGTGGAAGAAGAGGTAGAGAGACGGACGCTACAATCCAATGCAAGGACAGAGCTGCGCAGCAATCTGACAACTTCAGGAAACAATTTCATCTTGCCAGACATTCCATCGGCAGTCATGCCGGGACACCTATGGGGACTGGCAGGCTCCTTCTGTCCCATTTTGGGTCACATCAAAAGCTATGTTTCAACTACAGATTAGTCATTTGGAAAATGGAACAATATGCGAGAAAAGTGAGGTATTCTCCTTCAGACTGTTTGACAATTTCTAACAAATGACTGTGGTCTGGTGCCAGGCTTGGTTGGCCGGGCATATGCATTCCACATAGTCTTCATTTAATTCATGACTTGTGTTACAGGACACAGATGAGAAGAATCACAACAACTCCTGACGTGCTACACTGCAGCATAGAAGTAAGCACAGTGTGTTCTGTGCGCTAACAGTGTGTAAATCAGCACTTTGAGTCGTTATTGTGCTAATTTCTCACACCTGCCCCTGGGAAGCTTCACAGCTGTTGCTCCACTTGCAGCAGTTTATCTCCATAAATGATTGCTGATAAATCCTCCTGAGACTGATGCTGAAAGCCTCTGAGATTTAAATGCGAGACTTAAAGAGCCAGGCTGTGAGTTGAAATGGTGGGATGATATTTGTTCGCATTGTGCTCATTAGTGATGGAAGACAAAGTTTGTTGGCAGGTCCTGTTTTTAGAGACATTTTTTGAATAAGTAGGCTCTGACATTTAGATGGTGGCATTTACTGTAGTAAATAGTTTTGGAATGGCAATCCCAATCAAACAGCCAATACTAACCCGAAGGCATGCCGATAAGTTCCTGAAATCAGATCACTGGTCAATATGTCTAAGAACTAGAATTTGACTGAGATTTCGGTGTGGGTTGCAGATCTGATCCGAACAACAAATGCTTGTTAGGGTTTGTTTTATACCTCTGAGATGTCCTGATCCTGTATTCCTCACCCACCTGGTACTGTAGTCCAAGCAGGTTAAAACTGGTTTTACAGGATTACCCTGGTGTTATTTTCAATCCTTTCATTATTATCAGCAAATACCATGAAAAGACCAAAACCAACAAAGAATTTATCCTACTAATGAGTAGTGTCTGTAGAACCACAGCCCCATATTGCTTATGCATATGTGCTATACAAGTCTATTATCCTCTAAAAACTATTAAAACTACACAAAAGAGCCATAGCGTTGTACTGCGTGACATATTCCTTCATTACAACACACAAGGTCAGTGTACTCAGCTCGTCATATTTTCTCCAAAGTACTCTAGCTTACTGCAGGTCCACCAAATGTGACCTCTTTTTCATCAGTGTTGTCAGCTATGCACTCAACCTTGTGAGTACGACCCAGAATTTGTACGTTTCTAATCATTAGCTAATGATAAAGTGTAAAGCAAACTAACAAAGCAGGGTGAACACAGATCAATCAGTGCAGTTGAGGTTGTAAGTCCTTCGTGTTGAGAGTAAAATACACTGCCAGTGTTATGGTAATGGAAAAATATGTCCCCCAATACATTAATATGGCTCTTTAATATGTTTTTAATAGATTTTGGAAGACACTAGTACAGACATTTGAGCTTTGGCTACAATAAAAAATAAAAAGTTATTAAGATAAATTGTTTGTATTTTTTAGCATTTGAACTTTTCACAGGATTTTTGTGATAATAAAAAAAGCACAAATCAAACCAGCTTTCCTAAGATGTGCTTGATAACAGTACTAAAATCATGTATGGTGGGTAAACACAAGATCAAATATATCAATAGACCTCTAATTCTTTCCACCTATCTGGCACACTTTAGAACACTGTAAAAGACACAGATTAATGACCAGGAGTTCCCTAATGTCAAATCAATTTTAATTTAGAAGTAGCTTTAACTCATGTCTGTGAAAGAAGCCTGTTGATTTTAAAGCTTGTAAGAGGCTTTTAAAAAGGCTGTATTCTTCAGTAAGTATGTATGCTCAGCGGTATGGTAACCATATGCAAATTAAGGGGATACTTTGTGAAATCACTTAAGGACAGTGGTTATAAATGGAAATTACATCATCCCAAACCATCCAAAAGTAAGCATAGAGGCTGATGAGAAACACTGAGGTCTACTGATGAACGATATGCCAGTATATTTCCTACCATTATGATTTCACACAGGTCTCTCCAAGTACAATTTCAAATCATTAATTTGCATGTTCTGTAAACAGGAGCCTTGAAACTCCAAAATAAACACATACATGTTTTTTTAATTTGGAAATAAAAGACTAGTTCCACATATAAAATGGAGAAACTGAGTCACTCCAGTATCTATAGCAGTTAAATCGGTCGGATAACCTACATTTTCAATGTCCGTGTTAGATTAGAACATTTACAGCAGGATTGAAGGTCAGGTATTTCTGAGGACAGATGTTGGTAAATGTTGGCCCCCTGAGAACAACTGTTTTTTTTACAACAAAGGTGTCTGGCCTTAGGCCTTCCTGGTAAATGGCTACATGAGCTCACGTCTGACCTGCTTGAGAGGTTGAGCAGTTCGTGCTTGTCGGTGACTGTGGACTTGTCCTCCAGGTCCCACATCAGTGCGTTGATGAGGTGGGAGTTTTTGATGACAATGGGCACCTCCTCGAACATATGCTCGAAGCCAATGTTAGCCTTCTTCAAGCTGGAGAGTGAGGGAAAGAAGAGGAGAAGTTACAATTCGCCTTCACAGTGAAGATAAAAATTATTTAAGACAATGTGAATGCCTTTTACAATAAGACTTTTCATCTTATTGTAAAAGGCATTCACATTGTCATTTACCAACCTTTTCAGACTACAAAGAGTTAATTCAACATAGGACAGATCCGACAAAGTGAAAAAACTCAGGGATTTCAATAATACTCATTTGCAATGGATCTGTATTTATAAATTAGTATTCCTGAGCATTTCTTTTACATAGATTTTGGAAAAAATCTCATTAATATCCTGATATATGGATAAATACTATCATATACTATCCAGACCTTAGTGACATCACTTTGTTGTTTTTATTATGCTGACAAGTAGCCTTACCTGTATACAAAAACCAGAGGGAACATTATATTTTATAATTTTCAGTCTCAGACAACAAGTATTTTTTTCCGGGGACAGCTTACCTGCTAATGCGCAAAACCCGCGCGCATGACAAAACATATGAGAATCAGTGATGAAAAAAAGAAAAACTCATGCAAAGAAAAATCTAGGTCCTTGCTGGTCCATTTTGAACAAATGTTAAGGCAACATAGAGTGGATGTGGTTAACAGCGGCCATAACTCTAGTTCTAATGCATCCGACATCTGTTTTGTTGAGGGCAGAGATCCCCTCAGGTCTGCGTTTGACATATTTTCACATTTTATTTGTTGTTCGCATATGCTTACAAGAAAGGTTGCAAATGGAGCAGTGAACTGTTACCACTCGGCTTTTACTTTTCAGAAAATTGCACCTCAGGCTGAACCTCAAAATGAATAATAATGTTGCATTTTGATATCTGAAAATGGCGTGATATGATAGGATGTCCATATTGCCCAGCTCGAGCAATGTTCGACTCAGTAGCCTAAATTACTTTTTATAGGCTCTGCTGAGAAGTGTGTGAAGCACCGACTGATTTTTAACCACCTCTTCTTGTTCCTAGGGAGCTAAAAGCCTCATCTCTCTCTGACATGGGCCTGTTAACACAAAATGGAACTTCAAACATTGCTTAATGTCTCACATAAATCCAATAGCATTGACTGACTGCCCTGGTTCAGCCTGTCACTTGTGCACAGTGGAGGAGCTACAAACTAATGTCTGTATGTGTCTAATGTTGGCTTGTTAGATGTGCCTTGCTTGTTATGGGATCAATACACTGGCTGCATTAATCCACCATGTTTACTGTACCAGAAACAAGAGATGTTTACATTACGTGTGTCTGTGTGATAAATAGGGGTGTGGAGCATCATCTGATTCTTATAAGGTAAATTTGAAAAACTGTTGTTTTGTATTGCAAGTGGAGCATCACCTCAGGCAAACTTTAAGAGGAGACTCTGAGGCAACGCATATGGACAATCCAGCGTTGGGCATTGAGTGGGCAGAACAAAAGTCAGTATGGATAACAGCAGTCTATGTGGAAAATGTTATAAATACTGTTTGTTGTACAAATTGGCACAATTATCCATCTGCAGTGCTTTAAAATATTTCCTGCATATTTTGACCTTTTCAAATGCCTGCAGAGCTAAAACATGTGTCTATGAGGAAATAGAAGGACAGTACCATTCTAAGCAGGACAAATTGCTCAACCCTACTGGACTTTGGCACACTTAATGCCATGCTCTTTCCAAGTTGGGCCCCACTGGAGAAAGGCAAAGATTGACTCCACAGTCCGACTAATTTGATGCTTTATATTGTGTGCTGAAGTGGAGGCTATTGACCACTGCCCTCCATCGCTTTCGAGGGCAGTTCAAAGGGATAGCTCTATTCAACACTCATCTGTCCCCTGCCTTTCATTTATATAATAAAAAAAAAATAAAAAAAGTGCACAATATATGCAAGCTCAAATATACCAACATGAAAGAGACTGCTTCTTCCACAGTGTAGTGGGGGGAAATTTAAATGCTTTTGAAGTTTTGCAACTTTGGAAAAAAATAAAAACATTATTGATATTCAGATCTTCCTGTCTGTTCTAAAAATAATAGGAAAGACAATATTTGTGCTAAGAAGTGATATTGTCCTTTCCTGCCCAGAGCTGCCCTCTTTCAGTCACAGGTTTATTGGGAACACTGATAACTACAGATTGGAGCCATAATAAATCATAGGAACTAATGAAAAGCTGTAGAAATGAGAAGGATCCTGACTCTGGGCCAAACACACTGGGTCAATAACAGAGTGGCTTCCAAAGGAGACACAGGTGGAGAAATATTGGAAGAAATTAAGAGAAAGAGAAATTAAATTATGCAGTTAAATTGTCCCTTACTCCTGCAAATACACTTGCTTTTAGTGGTTCTGAAAAGACAGCAATTTGATAGCACTGGGACGTCTTCATTTAGCGGTTTAGTTCGATTTGTCGGCACATGGGTGTGTCCCTTCATGCGTGTGTTTATTCATGTGTGAGTTTGTGCATTTGGACTACCCAGAAAAACGGTCCCCTCATTACATTCATTTTTAGCTGCAATTTAAAAGCAATTACGATAAGCCTCAAGGTCAGAAAAAGCGTAAACATGGTACATTTCTTTGATGGGCAAGGGTGAGCTGATAAATCATCATCAACATCATCAGCATCCATCTCCAACTGCTACTAAATGCCTCCCCTGCAGATGCCAAAGCCTATGTTTGCATCCACTGGATGAGCAGACTCAAGAGAGTGAAAAGGCAAATTTGTTTATTCCCGTAAGCAATGTGAGCCTGAATGAAAACAGAAGAATTTGCTGTGAAGATCTACACTTCTGTGTGCATGTGAACAATTTTTTTTGTGTTTTCTGTTATGAGCTACTTACCCCTCAGGTGTGAAATCTTTCTCTTTGCAGATCTCCATGAGTTTTGGGGTAAGCCTGTAGGCCTTGAGGGACAGGGAGCCTTGGGCCGTCTTTATGGGGTCTACAATGACAAGAGAGAAAGATGTGGGTTGAAAGAAAATTATGTATAGATTCCCTTTAAATCAGATTCTCTGAATTCAGCAAACAACCCTTTTACACACTTTACTAAATAGAAAAATCTGATTTCTTCTTTAGGTTAAGCTCTCTAAAAAAGGTAAAAGTGGCTTCCTGGGTTTCCCACGCAATCACTACTATGTAAAATTTTACAGGTCATCTGCTGATATACATTCTATACTCAATGTTTATACATATTAGAGTGAGAGTTGGCACAGTAATACAAAATCACACCTTGGCCTCCAGCGGTTGGCCTCTGAGCATCTGCTGAAAAAGTCAGGGGTCAAGTGTCTTGTTTATGAATTGACTGACTGAGTTGAGAACGCTTCGTTCAGGTTCTGCCTCCCACATACCACAAGTGCTCACAACAGTTTCCAACTGGCTACTTCCAGTCAAATACTTTTTGTGTGTTAGCTGATGCTAGTCAAAGTTCCGTGAAAACATTAATTTATGTATGGGCTTACAAATCTGTGCAGGAAGGAACAGAGTGGTAGAGCTACTGCTACAATATATCAATTCTACAAACTGAAGAATCAAGTTAAAGTAACATTTAAAAAGATAGAAAAAGCAAAAGTATCTAGACTGTTTGAGTAATAATCATCCAATTCTACTGCACTTCCTGTTTTCCTGTTTATGCTACTTGCTGCAGAGAGAGATAAAGTGGTAATACTGGGTCAGACTAGACAGGCTGACAGCCACCAAACTAGAGTCTACCACAGATTTTAGCGTGACTTATTCCCATCCAAACAGCCAACTGTGACGAGCCACTTGCCTACAACATAGCCAATCCCAAACAAGATAGAGCCAAGCTAAATTTATGCGGGCCATCTCCACTAAGACTGGATGCTGACAGCCAAGAAAACTCACTCCTATCCAAAGGAAGTTTGGTCTTTCATTAGACCCTCAGTGGCACCTAAATGCCCACTTCTCTCAAACACAACAACAACTTCAGTATATAACGCAGGATTTTGTTGAAATTTTAAGTTGCCTAGCCTTTTTACTTTATAAAGCTCCCCTCAGAGCTACAGAAGACACTATACAAGTGCTTTACAGGATGAACACCCCCCCTAGTGACAAGTAAACTACACTGAAAACTGTCCCTTTCCCTTTTTTTGTATACAATAACATTTAAGAATGGTACAATAGCACCTAAAAACTTCCTAATGCAATATGTCCTCATTCCTAAACAACAAAATAGGTTGATGGGCAGTGACTCCCAAAACGCCACACAAGACTGCTGGAAGGTACCAATCCAGAACGTTATGCAAGTCAAATAATGTTAAACACGTGTTTAACGTTGTGACATGGCCGCAGTGTGGTTAGGCTTAGGCAACAAAACTACTTGGCTAGATTTAGGAAAAGTGATTGAGTTAAAATAACTATGTTACATAAATCACTTGTCCCACATAAGTCACCTATTAATTATTATTATTTATTTTATTATACTTTTATTTAACAGGCAAGTTAATTAAGAACACTTCCTTATTTACAATAACGGCCTGGCAGGAGACAAAAGCCTCCTGTGGGAAAGGGTAGTCGGATTAAATAAAAACATAAAATAGACAGAAGATGCAGGATACCTATGTAACATTAACAATTTTTTTTAAATAAGTCAAAATTGACTTAATTTCACAAAGGTCTCGAACCCCGAACCCCTGACTGAAAGTTCTTTGTTTGTTTGACCCACGAGCCAAAGAGTAAGTAAAACTTATTTAAAGCACTACAGTCTTTTAGGTTGTGGCTTATCAGTAAACGGAAATATGGATTGCAATAAGCTGCTTGAATAATTGAACTACAGACGTTTTTTCTGGTGAGGACAGGCTGTTCTGTGCCTGAACAGTTGTACCATATGTCCCTGACTTGAAAGTTCTGGACCTGCAAAGAGCTGTTGAAGGTTTGCTGTGCCCGACCATCTTAACCTGTCCAACTCATGCAAAAAAAATGTTGCCATGGCGAACATCTTTAACCAATTGCTTTAACAACCCACTCTAATTCTAACCTGTCATTGGATGGAAGCTATTAACTTGCCAGTTGGCCACCTGATTGATTCATCCATTGACATAAAACGACCGGCGAGCTAATGACGAGGAGAACAAAAAAGAAATCCATTTTCTTTCCCTTTGCCTTTAAACAGAGATAACGTCAATTCCTTTGAGGTGCTTTGATCCATTAAGCGCTGCATTATTGACTGACATTAACAGGAGCCCTTGTTTAGAATGAGAAAGAGGCTGACTGACCTGCCTGAGCAGCCAGCTGGCTGGCAGGACTAGATCGGAGGGGTTCATGTCAGCTGGTTAAAATTAATCTTTGCCTAGCGTGGATTGTACAATCTAAGAACACGATAACCCTGAATTAATTCTGGAGAATTAGAGGGGGGGGGGGGGGTTGCTGCGTCTCTCTTGACTTAATGCTAGTGTACAACAAAAGTTTTAATGAAAAGTTGTGATTTCAGGTCTGTGAGGTTGTAAGACGGTTTGTGTCACCCTGTCTCTACTTATCAGTTCATAAAACTGAAGGGGGTAAACTCGGCACATTATGAAGTGTACAATACGGACAGAAAATACTATCTTGATACAATCTGGCATTTTGACAATATCTATATTTGATTATTTGTCTTCAGCTTGTAAAAGTCTAATGCGTGAGTCACATTTCAGCACCATAAATATACACAAAAAAACGTACATTTTACTTGAATCCACATATTTTCAATACACTGCTGCAAAACTCAACCTAATGACAACTTTGAGTCATTATATAGTAATGAATAATCATTTCCTTAAAACACAGAGCAGTTAAATGCACGCTGTTTTATAGTGACAGGTTTTAATTTGCTGTCATGTAGGTGTTAATATTGCTGTCTTTTCAAAGAAAGCTTAAACCATCTGGAATGGCATTTGTGGTGCATGCAATTATGGGCAACTCTTGAAGGTTTTTACTGTGAAGCAGGTGCAGGCAAACGATGTGTGTCATGTTAGCGGCTACCAGATACCTCATTAATCCCGCTTATTTCCCCCTGTTTTCTACTTTTCACAACCTCCTCTGCTGTTGGCCTTTCAAGGGCAAAGAGACTTCTTGCAAGACATGACATTCAAGGCTGCTTCTTTTCACCTGCCACTGATGATTTACTGAGAGGACACAACCCCAGGTCTTGGCTGTGTTAGATGGCAACATGCGCATAACTACCTCGGCACCTGCTATCTTTTTGTTTGATCAATGTCATCTTACAAATGTAAATTTTTGCAAAATAAGATAGTATTGCACTTTGCATATCTGCACAAAAAGATAATCATATTATTCTTCGAATCTATTTGAAATGTACTTGATTGTCAATAAAGACACTTGCAAGATTTATGTTGAAACCCAACCACTGTTTTTATAAAAAAAAAAAAACATTTTTCATTTTTTCTTACCTCAACTAATCTTTTCCCACATCTGTCACGCTGATTTATTTCTGTGACTCTCTGGATGTCAGCCACAGTAGAACATTGTCAGACTTCTCAGTGGCCATGTCTTTTATTAGATTTGTAGATAGCTATTGATTTAAGAGACTAAACTTGACTTGTGACTGTTTAATCATGGCTGAAACTTGAATGAATATGAACCATAAATATATCAGTAGTACAAGTGCCACTTTTAATGCCAGAGAAGTAAAATCAATTATGATCTGGTATATTAAATCTGAGCAAAAGATGTAGAAACCACAAGGAGTTAGGTACTAATAGGTTGTATTTTCAACTTAATGGTGCTACCCTGTCTTGACAAACGCCACATTTTCTTTAAGCCCCTGTGGTTGAATACACTGCTTTTAATTGATTTAGGTATAATATCATGAACAATGTTATGAGTGAAAAGAAATCCATCACCATAGTCTTTCCCCAGTTGTCTGTGTGGGTCTACTTACCATAGATGAGCACAACTGACTCTTCAATGGCATGCTGGTAGCTGAACTGGGAGTCAAGCAGTGCTCTGCTGACAAAGGAGCCATAGTAGGTGGACTGGTACCAGCCTACGTGCAGATGGTCAATGTTAACGTGGCGCAGAGAACGCATCATCTCCATCTGGTACTGGACTAGAAGCAGAGAGAGGTAGGAATGGAGAGAGAGGGAAAGTCAGAGGAATGGGACAGAGAGAAAAAAATGTTATTAAGAATCAACTTAATTGAAATCAGCTTGGAGATATTTTTGGGGGGGATCTGTGAATGTCTGGTCTCCATCTGGAACTGGACATGGCTGGATATGGTGTATGAACAGAGGGAGGGAAGGAGGGAGGGAGGAAAAAGATGTGGGAAAAAAATGAGAAATACAGGGAAACAAAATGAGAAACGACGATGTGAAGAAAACGTGCGGTAACATAGAAAAACACTAGCTTTATCTTCTGTTATCAAGTGGCTGTGATGGAGATTTATAAAACAAACATTAACCGGGATCACCAGTCACCCTTCCATTTATTATGCCGTTAAATATGTCCTGGTAGAGAGAAAAGATAGATACACAGACAGGCTTCAGCTACTGGAGAGAAGGCTAGATACATTACAAGGAAAGCCATTTCATTACGCCAGACAGAAAGCCAGAAATATAAACAACCTTCCTCCCTGGCTGTAAGTAACAACCAAAGCAAGCGAGAAACTCAGCATCTCCATACTGGCTCGCTGGAGGAGGTTGATAAATCAGGGCGTTATTGGGCAGCTGTGGCCCCCTAGACCCCAGTCTGAAGAGCGCATCCTTCTCCTGTTGGGGCTGTTAATAAAAACAAACCGGAGGAGAGGTGGAAAAGAGGGATGGTGAAAAGCAAAAGAAAAAAAAAAAGAGAGCAAAGAAGATAGAAAGGTGGAGGACAGTGGAAAGAGTCAGAACGTGTTAAGCGGGAGGGGGAGAAGGGTGAATGAAAAAGGAAAAAGAAAAAGAGAAGGAGCGTAGAAAGGAGAAACAGAAAGAAGTCCGTGAAGAAAAATGTCACTTTAATACAAAGGTGACATTACACTTTTGGCTTCTTTACGATGGCCCGAGTTCAACCCTTGGTGGTGATGTTATGTAAAGCACAGAGTGATTTCTGTCAAAATATTTCAACATTCCAGCTGGTCTCTTCTAGGCTTTCGACCTCTCAGAGTTCATTTAGAACTCACAAAGAGTAAAAAAAGAAAAGTCATGCACAAAACACTTTCTGGTTTATTTCCATTAGCTTAGCCAGTCTTAACCAACCTCCCACAAAACACCCGCGCACACACACACACACACACTTATCACTCTCAGTCATTCGTTCCACTGCCTCTGCTGTACTCCACGCAGAAAACAAATGGCCATGGTCTGCCCACAATTCCACATTCAACCCCTGCAGGAGCGCAGCACGAGGAGAATAGCAGTCGCTGAGGCTCTTCTTTCCTCTCAATAGTCTCACTGAATTTTTTAACAACATCTGCACTGGAGCACTGGATGGACAGGCACAGAGGCCCTTATTCACAGCCTGTCTTGCAGTGATGGACTGGATGTACCAATTTAGCCTTTTAATCTAGCCTTTTATTTAGTGATTGACATGGTCAGTGAAGCAAAAGCAAGCAGAGTAGATGGACAGGAGATTACAGGGGGGAGGAGATGGGAAGGAAGGAGAGGAACCGAGGAAGATAGGGTACATGATGAGGAAGACCGAGATTGCAGACCATGTAGCAATACTGTGACAAATCACAGGAGGCGGCAGCGTCAGGTGGCGTCTGCCACTGTTTGTGTGGCTGCGATTTTTCAGCGTAGTAGCAAATACACGGGAGACAATTTGTGTATAGTATATTTCATAGAGGAAAATTAGCTTGGGGGGGGGGGGTTGCAGGTGGAAGAAGATTCAAGTGTAATTCGGAGTCTACAGTGACAAAGTAGGTGAGAATTAAAACATGGAGTGGGTGAGACAAGTAACAGAGGAAGCAAGTGAGTATCAGGATAGGAGGGTGTATGTGACAGAGTTACAACTGTTGTCGAGTGGATCCGCCCAGGGGCAGGCTGGCATCAGACTCCAAGACACACAGAGCTCAATGGAGAGGGAAGGCAGCCCGACACCTAACTACTGTATCTGTCTCTGCACTTCCATGCCAATCAGTATGTGTACTTACCTCTGAAGCGCCATTGATGCATATACCTGCCCTCACACCCCCTCATTAGCAAGGAAATTGTGCACAAAGTGATCTGTCTCTGAGGCAAAAGCTGGAAGCTGAAGGATTGACAGCAGAGGCAGGAAAACCAAAGCTCTCCCTCTCCAGATCCTTTGTGATCTTAATGTGTGGACAACATTTTTATATGCAGTGTCAAATAAGTTTGTTTAAATAAGGATGACTTCACTTTTAGACTAATCAATTATTATTACTAACAAAATAGATTAGATCTGTGTGAGGTTTGTGCCTGAATACAAACATATCTGTACATATCCCCTTCACTCTGTCAATCTAATAGATACAATGACTGCATGTTAATACTGCTAACTCCCGTTGTACAGTGCAACAGTTTTATTCTAATTATATTGTATAATGTATTTTAGTCTTTATTTTATTTGAATTTATTATATATAATTATAAATTATGCTTGAGAGTTGTGCTCAATTTCAAGATTACAAATTTGTGTGGCCATTTCAGCAAAACATTCAGGTCTATTGTAAATAAAAAGCACCATAAGATATTGGTGATGCTATTCTGAAATATCTAAAATGTGGTTTATAACATGTTGACAAGTTTAGTAACCAACTAATTCATCAATTGCAACAGTAGATTAGCTGATAATGACTAATGAATTCAATGAATAATGAATAGTGTAGTGGTAGCGAGGTTTGACTATAGTTGAGATACTGATGTGTTTAAACAACACATTTTCATTCCATGCAACAACTGGGCATGTTCCCCTGCCAACAACTTGCAATCACAAAGTTTACACTATCATGTCTTGGTAAGTGACAAAATGCACGACTCGCAGACGCTTGCTTTTCAATTAACCTGCTACTCTACTACAATTTCAGAAAGACTTCAAAGTTGTTGATATTTCCTTCCTGATGTTGAAGTTTTCAAGATGTCAATGTTTTGTTTTTTATAAAAAAAGAGAGGTTTCTTTACAACTAAGGTCATTCCGACTGTTTGCGTAGAATCAAAGACTGGACTGTGAAAAGGAATGGCTCCAGGAAAGGTTATGAAATAACTTCTGAGTGTGCTGAGAATCTCAAAAGCGCAGAGTAGGTTCCAAAGAAATTCAAATAACTTGGGACTACACAGTGTTTTCCTGGAGCAGGCGAGAGCTACGAAGTATCCAAGAGTCCACGGAGCTCGCACACACACGGAGATGTAGTCTGTTGGCAAAAATTACAGCTCATTCTGCAGGGACAGCAACTTGTAGCTAAATCATTTAGAAATTTGTTAGGGAAATAGATAAGGGACCCAAACGGTTAGGGCTAATGCTTACTCTGAATTACAAATAACTATTTTTTAGAGAATATTTATGTTCTACTTAAACTAAGCGTGCAGCTAAACCAAACAACGTATTGGCTATTCATATCAATATTGTAAACCATTGTTACACTTGAATTCTCTTTGTATTTTTCGTATTTCCTTAAGATCCAATACATATATTTAAAAAGATAATACTGCTGCAAAGTGATGCTGATGAAAAATGAATATGCAAATATTTAACATTTATTAAATATTGTATTTATATTAACTGAAACCAGAGAAACGCCTAGAAGCTAGACAGAAAATGGGCCAAATCATGTTAAAACATTGTACTGTCCTCTAACTAATTTGCATTAAGGTCTACAATACCACAAAATACATAAAAATAACAGAAGGGGAGACTGAGTTGAATTTTACCCATCTGAGTGACACCCAGCTTCCACTAGAGACTCAAGCAGACAAGTACAACAAGCTACTTGACACTGCACCCAGGTCAGAAAGAAAAAGACAAAGGACACATGCAGACAACCATCCCAAATGCCGCCTGATAGCTCAACTGAGATTCCGATGGCTGAGTGAGACTACAGGCCAGAGGCAGGCCAGACAGCTCCCCCACTACGGATCTAATACAGAGCACAGAGCCTTGTAAAAGCCATAGGGTCACTAGAGCTGCAAAACTAAACAGAAAAACAAATTGTTTGACCATCTGACATGGGTGACTATGTGTGTGTATGTATACTTTACAATATCGTGAAGTAGTAAAGCCTCTGGAGACCTCTCACAATGTGTGGTACAAACAAGATTAGGTCGAAACCTAGTATATGCCTGGTCTTTTATGGTCAATGTGCTCCTGGGGACGTGTTTGAGGACTGTCCACACCTTGATGGAAAGCTTTGTTTATGCTCGATGCTGTGCAATGAATTCATTTTTACTATTAATGTGTCATGGATTTGAAAGAGCTATTTGCAGATAATTCGTATCGTATAAAAGCAATTAAATGACAATTAAAAACGAAAAGGAGAGACAGAAAACGAATCCTTCAACCATGAAAGGAGTGTAGTGGTTGAATAGTTTGTCCACCAGAGGGCGCTCTGCAACTCCAAGATTTTAAAATCCTCAAAAATGATTAATTATTAATCAGTTAATCATAAAATCTGCAAAATGTCTGAAGTAACGACAAATGTTCATCAGAAATAAACTTCTGTAAACAGAAAATAGCAAAATAACAAAAAACTGCAATTTTTCCATTAAGGCTAATACTTATTGTTTAGCGTGCCTATAAGCCAAAAGAGGCAAGTTAATGATAAACAACAGTCAATGACTTCAAAAATCAAAGATTCATATGTGACAAAGAAGAGAAGCTTTTGTACTTTCTGTGCTTTATAGTAATATGAAAAAAGGGGGAACGTGACGGGAAGGTAGCCTGTGTTCTAATTAGAGTGATCAGAATGGGGGTACATGAATGAATGATGTTTGCTGTTCTTTCAACAACCATTAAGGTGGATGTGACTGATGTAAAAGCACCTTCCCCTTCAAAAGGAGCCGCTCTGATCAACAACAGAAGAATCCAGTTGTTGATGGGGAAAGTGTTGCACTGTTGAACAGTGTACATTCACAAATAATTCCTTGGATTGGAGGTCTTAGACAAAAGAAAATGA